AATTGCCACTACTTGTTAGTCCTCTCCTTGTGCCTCTCATACTGGCTGCTGTTCAGGACAGGGTAATTAGTTGATGTACCCTTGTTCTGACCTGCTTATAGCCATTTCTTACCTCAAGCACTTACCTGACCTTACTGTTAGGGAATTTTTTTTAAGATGTCTGTCCTGAAAATCTCTTGCTGGAGTTTAGCTCATTACTTCTTTTTTGTACTCAGAAGTCTCTTGCATTGAGAGAGGAAATGGGAGAGGAACTTTGTCATTCCAGTTCCCTTAGCTTTGACTTAACAACACATTTAGTTTCCTATTCTTTTAATGAGCAAACCCCACAGATTTAGCACAATTTCTGAAGAAAAAAACATGATCTGGCTTAGCTACTGTCGGTCACTTCTGATGCGATTAAATAGCTGTTCTCAACAGAAGAGTTCAGAGCACCGTATGTGCTATTTCAGTTGATTGGGTCCGGTACCTTATCTAAATAACCATGGATGATATATGTACTGATACCAGAGAGAGGTGATAACACTTGGGTGACCGTCTTTCAGAACTACATGTTTGGAATGGAGTAGCTTTTTCTGCAGGTGTTAACTAAGCTGGAGTTCAAGAGCCGGTGAGCATTGAATAACTTGTGCCTCAAAACAACCAGATCCAAATTCTGTTCCTTATTACACATGTCTGACACTTGCCAGATATCTATACAGTTAGAGCTGTCTTTATTTCCATAGTATACAGTCTTAAGCAAAACTTATTATGTGAATTTGGTCAAATATGCATAGAAAGTAGATTTTCTGGGTGGGGGAGACGCAGTTTTACAGTTACCTGTCAAGAGACTTCATTTTGAGAAAAAGTTTCTTCTGATGAAACGCTTTGTCAAATCAGGTGTAAAAAGTAGTACAAAATCACTTATGCATATTTGCTGACACCTTGTGATACTTTCTGATGTGTTTTCCAAAATGCTGTTGAAACGTAAAGCTGATACTGATTCACTTAATCAGTTCGTAGGCTGACTGAAATCTGAGATTATGTAAATACTGTTCTAAGTAAATCAATTAAAACACACTTTTTGTAACAGCACACTAGAAAGTCAAAACTCAGGTACTGAACAAAAAGTCGTTCTTCAGAAACTCAGGATGGGTCTGAGCATTTACATTCTGTGTGATCACTACATAATACACGTTTTTTCTTGTGCAGTGAGTGACCAAAGGACTGCATCTTGCCTGTCTGCAGGGTTCAGTAGCGCTAGCTGTGCCAGTAATTGGAGCAAGGGGCACAGGGCAGCTTTAGTCCTGCGTGCTGATGTGGTTATACAGCTCCAGCTCCACATCTCCGAGTGAAGTTCTGTCCCAAAGAGAGCTTTTTAGTCCAAATCCGTTTGTGCGCTGCATGGTTTTGGGAGAAGAGATGGTTGAAGTCTGCTGGCTTAGAGCATGGAAGCAGCATGAAAATGGTGCAACTGCATGTGTGCCACTTCATTTGGTGTTGTCTTCCATCTCTGTAACTATGTCATGTTGTAAAATGGACAACATTTTCTCTTGAATTCAAACCTCCTGTCTCTGATTCCCCATTCCTCCCATTCCAAAAGTACAGGAAGCTTGATTGCTATGTTAGTGATATGTATTACTTTTGTATTCATATAACTCCAGTGAAGCAAAATGAACAGGACAAGTAAACAGACAGGTCCTCGTTATTTCCCTTGTTGGAAAAAAACAGGCCAGAGAAGTTGAAGTTGTCTGAAAATGCTTATTTTTTTCTGAGGCAGATTTTACTTAAGATGATTTTCTATAAATTTACGTGTTCTCTGAAAAATCAAGATTTGCCAAGCTGTTTTAATGCTAGGTTCCTCAGGAAGGGGTTGGGAGGGAGGAGTTGATACCAAGAAGTTGTGTCCAGAAGTAAAGGCTTTCCCTTTTCCCCTGTCCTGGTGGATGTGTCTGTTAAAATTTCAGGAGGACTGTTAATAAATGTTATTATTTAAAAAATGGTGACGCTGCTGTAATGCCTTGTGAAATGTGTAAGAAGTGAATACAAAACTCTGTGGCTTCCTCTAGAACGTAGAGGAGCGTGCTTTCTCGTTTGACTGAAACACTGGAAGCGTTTAGCTGTGCTTTGCCATTTGTGCCTGTACCAGCCATGAAATAGTACTCTTATCCCTGAAGAGGTACCCAATACAATAGATATTAATTTGCATAAGAGGCTGTTTTCTAATTATGAACAGTTTATGTGTCCAGGGACTTTTGATTAGTGATGAATTGAAACTAGGGAAGAATATGAATAGCTTGAGGGAAGGAGGACAAAAATGAGAAAATTACAATAGAAATTCACAGGAATAAAATGAAAGCAATCTTTTTTAAAAGTATTCTGTTTAAAGCGTAGCAGAGAGAAAGCAATTTTGGGCCAACTAATAAGGAATCATATGTTCATTAACAAGAATTACAAATAATTAGTTACTATTAAGGCAAGTAAGACAGAAGATGAATTGAATTCTTTCCTGAGGAGTGACTAGGAGAGAAGAATAGGGAATATGCAGAAATACCTCTGCTTTCCTTTACTGCTTTCTAAGGAAATCACTGGAGCCTTGCCTGTGGAAAATGTGTACATTTAAAATTTTGATTATTTTTCTTTTAATTTTGTGTATGTCAATATAACCGCACAGATAACATGACTACATAAAAAAAGAAAAAGGAAGGGGCAAACCAGGACTAGCATTGCATATGATACATACAGGCTGTGGAGAAAACAAAGCAACAAGAGGCTCTTTGGCACTAAATTCTGCCTGAGAGCTGTTTTTAAATCTTTTCTAGCAGAGTTATTGGTTACTTTTTCAAGGTACATACCTTGAGGGGCGTGTCTTTGTCAGGCTATAAAAGTGTAGAGGGTCAGTTCTTTCTGTCTCGTGTGACCTCGTTATTCGAAGATTACTTTCTATATCAAACATTAGTGAATTCATGGGACCTATCCTGCAGCACAGGCATGTGCTATTCATTGGTTTAAGGCAGGGTATTGTAGTCTTTACTCCAAACTGAAATTTTGAGTGAGGTTGTTAGTTTTGTATGTTGAAGCCTGAGACAGTCACAGACAGGTAAACAGATCATGAATAGCTTTACGTACGTGCAGCAAATTGGATATGTTGGACCAGTCCATCCTGGGCTGCCAGATGTCCAGAATACCAACCGGGCTCTCTGAAAGCACAAGAAAGGACCAGGCAATACAGAACACCCAAAGCTGCTAGGCGCAGGTGAAGGTCATGTAAGCTAACTCGTGTTACTAACAGAAGGTGGAAGTTTGATCAGCTTTTGTGTTCGTCTTGCAAATATATCCAAGTAATCTCATTTTGGTGAGGTGTGTGTTTGTATCATTGTGGTTATAACTAGGTTTGAAGATTGCTGTTGTATTTGTCTTGGTTACAGGAAGATAGCAAGTATTTTATGCTATCCCTATTAGCTTAACTTGAATGGTAAAATCCATCACAATGGTCAGCATGTCTAAATAGTGAAGAGAATACACTTCCTGTGACTCACAGAACATTTAATGGTTTCAAATACTAGTTTTATTCTGTTCCTTGTAGTAGGAACCCTAACTACGTGACTTTGTTGTGTGTGTTTGGGTTTTAATGTTTGGCTAAAGGTAGACTGAGGCTGCAGCTCCAGGAGCAGCAAAAGCGATTTCATAATTTGCTCAGAGAAATGAAGGTAAAGAGAGGACTCCCCCTCGGCTTCCTTGCTCCCAGTTGTGTGGTTCAGCCACCTTCTCCTGTCAGCTTTTGCTCTTCTCCAACCCTGCTGACTGGGAGGAAGCAGAGGGTAGTGTTCTGCCGCATTTAGGGAGCTGAGCTGGCTTGCAGAAGAGTTCGAGTGCCAGAGCTGGCACAGGGCGAGTGAAGGGAGTGGAGCAAAGAACGCTAGCGGGGAGAACCGTGAGATGGGCTCGCTCTGCCTTGTGAAGCTGCGCTGTCTGCTCACGAAGCCAAGCCGTGGCACGCTGAAGGGGTTGGAGAGAAGTGTTTCAGGGTACTGTGTGGTGAACAGAACAGGGTGTTTTTCTGATTCAGAAGTGATTCTTTTTCTGTCTTTGCTTTTCTGTCCCACACTCCCTTTATTCTTGTAATTCCTTCCCTCCCCCCCGCCCACAGAAGACCACACAAATAATCAGTTCTCATTCACTTTATGGAATAATTAGGCTGTGGAGGATCTTAATACTGATGTTGTAGAAACAAAATAGTGCATAATATCAGCACTAGGCCAGAACTGGGGCATTACAGCTCTGTCAGTGAAGCTCCTGTTTGGCAGAGAGTTTGTTTGAAATTAGTCATCTTAACTACTGATTGTCTTGACAGAAGAAAAACTGATTCTGTGTTCCACAAAGGTCAAAACATAGTTATCCCCCGAGTTGTGACTTCTGAGCTGGAACAATGCTCAGTAGTATTTGCTGGTGAGAACTACCCTACTAGTTTTCTAATTGTTCTAACCAAGGCTGTGCAATAGCTTAAGACCCATTCTGGCACTCTGAACAAGGAAGGAGCACCCCATAGCCTTTCCAGAACCTTTGGCAGTGTTTGTGCAGCCACGTGCTTCTGAAAGCCACTGGAGAGCTGCCCCGTGGATGCTTTTCATACTTCATGCCTTCAGGCGAAACCTGCTTATTTGCTGATAGATTTTTATTTTCTTTTAAGACTGCATCGGTTGTTCAGTGCCGTATTTTGCTTATGCTGGATGTTCCTGACATATGATACTACATTTCTTTCCATCAGAAGAATCTTCTGAATTAATTGTCATGTGTGAAAATGTTCAACTTCTAGAATGTGTTTATCTGTTTATGGGCATTAAACCATTGGAAGAAACTGGTTTCATGAGTAATACTGCCTTTTCTAACTTATTACAAGAATGTGTTGAATCTTGTTATAGGTGTGAATGGCTTGTTATACTGTTCATTTTATTTAGAGCTCACTGTGCCAAAAATACAAAATAAATCTTTTGCTTTTGTTTTTTCTTTTTTTTGTTAGACATTAAGGCTAATCTATACCACTACAGCCATGCAGAGGAAAAATGTAAGAGCCTCAGGACCTGAAAAGTACACAGAGGCATTTATTAAAAAACAGATTGAAGAGTTCAACCTAGGAAAGAGACATTTAGCCAACATGATGGGAGAAGATCCAGAAACTTTTACCCAAGAGGATATTGATGTAAGTACAGTTGCTCTGTTGGAGAAGTAATTTACTGTAGAGTTTCAGATATTGAAAGCACTTTACTTCAGCATGAGCCCCTCAGCTCTCTGTGAATTTTAATCAAACTGTCAGAATAAGAAAGAATGCTACTATACATTGCAAACATTGCAACTGTGACTGTGAATAGAGATTCTAACCCTGCTGCCATGTGAGGTCAGACATCACAGTACAGAGCTGTATACCATATCTTGCTAAAGCACAGTAGGTTCTTTTAAAAAGTACTAATGGATAATCCCCTTGATCTGAGGTTATAAGAGGCACTGTAAAGGTTTATGTAGCACTTCGAAACGTTTACCCACAATTTGACCTGCTGTGTATATTTAGGTCAGGTTTTCTTGTATGATACTGTGGTTGCTTGTAATGCAAATTAAATTTTATAGGATGTTTTACAACTAACACTCTGGTTTAGGGTAGGGATTTTAATATAGACGTGAATTTAAGCTCATATCAGTAGCTCCAAACATGCTATTTTATTGCCATTTTCTCTGGAAGCTGACAGTTGGGTGGTCTCCTCTTTCTCCGTGTCATTTAAGCTCATGTATAGATATGCTCCGTTGCACTTGGAAAAATGTTTTTTTTGCATGGATTTTTTTTAATGTCCCACCTGGTCTTCACTTCTGTCATTTTTGTCTTACTTTATCACACATCAGAGGCAGGAAGGAGAAATGTCATTTGGTGACATTCACTCTTAGGTGGAGCTGCATGAAATCTCATGGCTGAAGCTTTCTCTGCGCAGCAGCAACACTATTAGTGTATCAGCAGGACCCTTAGGGTAGATGTAGTAATGTGGTGCATGCCAAAAAAGAGGTGTGTGTGATTTAGTTTTTTCAGGGTGAGGAGATTGTTTGTTGCCTCTCTCGGTGGCAAAATTCTGTCAGCATAGCTGCGTCCACATGAGAGGTCTTGACAGCATGCTTATGCCAAGAGAGAACTACATCTGTAGGTGGTGATACAGGCTGATTTCAAACACATTTGACAGGCTTCAAAGTAAAGTTCAGAATACTCCTCTGAAAATAGACAGCAAAGTAGAGAAGAGACACATAGTTAATGGCCTGCTGAGAAAAAGGCTGAAATGAGACTTGAGTTTTATCAGGTATCCGTAAGAGAAGCTTGACTTCAAGTCACAGATCCATAGGAAATCGAGCTTCACGAGCACAGAGCTATGCAGTGATACAGCGACTACTTTCGTTCAGAATCGTAGATGTTACTTTGCTGTTTTACAGATGAGAGCCAATGCAGAGACCCTTCCAGTCTCAGTGCAGAGCGGATAAGGTCCTGTCAACAGTAAGAGCATTCATCGAGGCATCTGGGTCAGCAGTAATAGCAGCCTGTCTGTTTACACTGGCTTTCTTATTGCTCTACAGACTATAAAATCTCCTGTATTTTTCAGAGGTTTTTTCTTACCTTTAATGAACTTTATCTTTTGAGTTACTTTCTTGTAAAGTATACATGCTCAGACCTGCCACTGGAATGCCTCCCATGTTAGTACGGTGTGATGGTGATGTTAATAGTTCAGTTTGTTTGCCTGCAAGGTTGATGATAGGAGAATGCATTAATCTGCAGTCTGGCTTCCTTCCTTGATGGGGTCTAGGGGGAAGACTTACGGACAGCAAGACTTCAAGAAATGGAAAATGACCGTATCTGAGTAGTGTTTTCTTCTTTATGAATCCACGGGACTATGATCATTTGCACCAAATTATCTGTGCTCTGTCATTAGTAAAAAGCAGATTCATTCTGGAAATTCGTTTTTACAAATGCAGTGCAGGTGACAAGTATGGGACTGCTTTGCAGAATGTTTCTGAAAAGCTGGAGAAGCAGAGCCAAAAGAGTAGTGTTTTGTTTGGTGACAGCAAGTATCTGTGATACGTATTTGATTTCTTCATCTTCTGTCAGGTGTTGGAAAATACTTAGAGTGGGTAGTAGGGTCTGCTATGCATAATTAAATTTCTGTTATAAAAATACAAAAGCTGCTTAAGCGCTGGCAGGAGAATTATCAAACTTTATGTTTCGAACAGTAATAATTCTTTCTGATGAGTGCTTATATACCTCCATGTCTTCTACTGTTAATCAATCTGTGCAGTATATATCAAAAGTAGACATCATAGGATTCTGTCCTTCACTGGAGTTTTAGGTAAAGCTAAACCTTGTGAAGTTTTAAACAGGAAAATAAGTTGACTTACTTGGTAGTCCTTCTGGATGTTGTGGAAGCAGAATCATCTCTTACTGATGCTATTATTTAGGAATGAAAAGTTAAGCTGTGCATTACAACTGTATTTCTGGAGGAGAAAAAAAAAATCCAGCAAATTGATATATAACTATGCAGAAGACTACCAATTGCTTTTTAATTGGTATTATAGACCTAACTCTGAAGCTAGGATGTTTTATTCTCCTATGTGTGAATATGTGCTATGAAGTTTCTCTAATTGATTTGCTTTGCCCATTCCATTTGATGTATCATTTTTCATATTTCATATTTCATAATTTGTGTTCATTTCTAATGAACAGAGTCGTTAGGACAGGCATGTCTAAGTACAACTGACAGCTAACATTAGGTGCCAGATGCAGTTTATAAAGCTATGTAGAACTGCAGAGAACAGTTTAAATAAATTAGCACCTGTACATTAGTCTCACTTGCTGGTAATTTATAAGCGAATCAGTAGAGATGACATTTAGGTAAGTCATTGATCAAGTTAACAGCTGCATACCCACTGCCCAGCTGGGATACCTAATTAATAGAGATTGCAGTCCTGACCTAGTGGTTTTCCCTGGTTGAGTCTGTAATCCTTTTATTTCGTGATTTAACTTTAACTTATGGTTGTAGTAAACAGCCCACCTTCATTTTCCACTGTCAGTTCTGTGATATTCTACTTTAAAGCTCAGAAATCTAAGTAAGATTAATACAAGAAAAACATTTTAATCTTCCTGACCTATTTATGTGCCAGTATTTTTATTCATTTTTATGCAGTCACTAAATGCTCTCCCAGATACGAGCTTATCATAAAGCAATACTCTTTTTTTCTTTCCCCATAAGAGTTAGTAAAACTCAAAAGCTAGAGATCTTTGTTCGTTTTCTCGTCTGCCTTATGACCTAATAGATTGTTGTCAAGCAGATGGAATAATTTGCATCTAGAATATGTGTTTATCTTCACTAGCATATATATTGTTGCAAAAGTACCAGTAAGGTTGTTAACTATGAAAATGTTAAATGTGGAAAAATTTCATTCCTTATAGGATATAGTTTCTTTCAATGAATTAAGACTTCTGTAATGAAAAATAGGTTGTATTCAGTTGCTTTTAAAAGTGTCTCAGCACATCTGATTTCTAAATAGATTAAAATTTTAGCAATGCAAAGTGTTAGAAATGAGTGAATGTTGACATATGTGAAATGTTACAAATGTTGTTCAGAACCAAATGTATTTCTGAATTCCTGTTGTCTGCAAGAAGTGTGTTGTCCAGCATTGTCCTTACAAGAAATACTGGATTTTGTATTGTTTTTTGAATAGTTGAAGCTAGAATGCTTTTTTCAACTTTTTTTTTTTTTCCAGCGGAGCCAAACTCAGCATCAGTGTTTTCTTACTTCTGCATCAAAGTCCATCTGAAATGATGACTGCTGTAATTTTTTTCTCTCTTTGAAATACTGTGCAGTGTTTTGAAAAGTTGAAATGAACATAGGAAAGATAGGAATAATGACTGTTTCTTTCAATGGGTTTTGTTTTGGTTTGATTTTTTTTTTCTCTGCAAGCTCTGGTCAAGACATTCGTTTTTGTCTTGAAAATAATTAAGTAGTATAAAAATGTAGTATTAAAAGGAGGTGGGCTTTTTCATATAATGGTAGTGTGTTGTTTGTTTGTTGGTTGTTTTTTTTAAGTGATGGGTTAAAATGATACATCACTGAACTTGAAATTTCTTTCTGTCCAAGCTAGAATTTGGCTTTAGATAAACAGACAAATTATTGGGATGGTTTCAATAAATTTTAGTAGTTGGTTGTTAGAGGAGGATTTTGTTTTACAAGGTGAACTTAGGTGTGTCACTGATTTTTTTTTTTTTTTTGTGTGTTAACCATTTCTGTCTTGTTAAATAAAAAAGCTATTTCAGAGTTAGCATTTCACGTCCCGTTTGTGTTTCATTCATTCCTGGTTCTACCCCAACTGTTCTGTATTTTAGATGCAAAAAAATTCAAAGAATACTGCTACTGTGGTTAGAGGGAAGAACCAGCAAACATCTCAATCTGAGAAATGCTGAAGTACAGTGGCTAATAATGTGATTCAAGAGGCAGGGTTTCAGAAGGGTCTCGTGATCGAGTTGAGGAGTAGAAGAAGCTGAAACAGGCATTTTGTTAAAACATTATGGCATAAAGTGTCACTCCTCACCTCAGTGTTGTGATGATTAAAGTTTTGTGTATACTTAAAAAGGAATGAGCTGGTTTCTTGAGTACTCTGCCAAAAAGGATGCTGCTGCAAGGGAACCACAGGGTAGAAGTTTTTGGGGTTTTTTTTTCTTCTTTTTCTTTTTTCCTGGTTTCCTACAAAATACCTTTCCTCACTGGATGTTACTTAGGTAACTATCTTTTCACATGATTTGAATAACGAAAATTAGTGAATTTTTTAATGTTTGAGCCGTAGATGCAAGAAATGTTTGGGAAGATGCTTGGGCAAGATCAGTTTGCCCTGCTCGACCTTTCCTACTTATGGCGGGTTATTTTAGGGCTGAATTGTCTCAGTCTCCTTCCTCTATCCCAATGTGACTCAGTCAACTCAATTTGAATTGAAGTGTTGAATTCTTAATTTCTCAAGATGTTAAAAAAAAAAGTAACCCAAGCTGAACTTGTTTGATTCAGAGTTAGTCTCTGATGTTTGAGAAAGTGAGGGAACAAAACGTCTCGGCTTGCAGATAGGTAGGAAGGGAAGGAGGCTCAGAAGTCAGTGTGTGCACCAAGCCCAGTGAGGAGGGAAGATGAGGGTGTGGCAGGTATACTGAATTTGCACAGCATGGCACATACAGTGCTGGACAGATTAGTTAATGGATTGGTTTGCATGTTTGAAGGACCGCCAGATACGATTTTTTTTTTTATGAGGGATGGAATCTTGTTCTCATTGTTCCCACTGGCTTGAATTCAAACTTTTAGCTGCAAGTGAAAGGCAGTGTGGTGCTCTGGGCAGTGTATTAAATGATCTGACTCCTCCACACGTGATCTTATAACAAGATTCCTTTTAGTTTGTTACAGGAATGTGAAGTTTACCAATGCGGTTTCAGAAATGTCTGATGTAAATCATGTTGTTACTAACTTGTATTCATCCTGCTCTATTATTTTTTAAGGTGTGACTACTGTTTGGTTTTTTTGTGTGTGTGGATCAACAGTAGAGTCTAAAAACAAGCACTTTCAAATCCTGAAAGGAAATGGCTAAAATTTTGTTTAATAGCTCAGAGTAGAAGCAGGCTGTACCCTTTCCACCTTTTTCCAGTAGTTTATGGAATTATTTTTGGAAGCACTGTTGTGTTACTAGGTACCAGGATTTTTTTATCGTGTTTCTGCTGAAAATGATATGGATGTTTCTTTTTTAGAAAGTTTGTGTTTTGTTTCCAAAGACAATGGCAACAGTGTGATTTAACAAACAGAATTGTGAAATAGCAGCTCAGAACCTGTGGAGGCTAGAGTGTGCTGAATGAATCTTGCATAGTTGAAATGGTGGCCTGAAGAAAGTAGGTCTTGGTCATATTCAGCATGACATTTCCTTTCTCATCTAGAGTTAAGTCAAATTAATCACTGGAAGAACGGTATGGGCCATGACCCTTAAGCTGAAAAGCACTCCTAGGATGGAAAACTGCAGTTAAATGTAAAAGGTTTCTTGAGAACTTTACTGCTAGCATTTAAACCTTGATTATAAAGTTTTAAGGTGGACCTTCACCTGCTTTTTGTATGTTCAGAAAAATGCAGAATGTGCAGTTAATTCTTTACAGGATTTTGACTCCAGACATGGAGATTCTTGACAGGAAGCCTGTGTTCCAAATCTGAAGACATTGTTAAAAGATTTGAGGAGAATATTTCATGGCTATTTATGTGCTCCAGCTGTAGTTTGGAGAGACTAATTCTGATGATATTCCTAAGGTTGATCTACTATCTTATTTTATTGCTAGTACACACGTGTGTTGAGAATTACAGTTTTTCCAAAATACTCCTTTTCTGCAAAACCTGAACATTTGCATAGACAAAATCAGCTGCTATAAGTGAAGTTTCTGAGAGGCAGACTGACTTGCTGTGAAGTTGCTAAAAGTACAGTCTGAGGACACAGCTATTTCAAATTAAGAAGAAGCTTCTGAATAAAGTTGAACTTGAGTCTGTTGCATCCCAGGATAGTTCCTAACAGGATATAAAGACAAATACCCCATCTTTGATTGCATTTCCATAAAAAGGGAGAAGGCAGGAAGACTCTCGTTCTTTCCATTTTGGAACAACAAAAAAGCAAACTTAAAAGTGAATTATTATTCTTTGGCTAGTTGCGTGTGGAGAGCCTAAAGTGGATGTTAGCATTTCTTAATTCAGGGTTTGTTTTTGCTTTAGCATAGTAAGACGTCAGTATATACTCAAGCAATATAAACTAAACTTTCTAGAAGTGGAAGGTCTCAGATGGCAGCCACTCTTTTCAATGTAAATGTTAAATTGTTATATTTGGCATTTATTAGGGAGGCATAGTTACAGTAACTGTTCTGACTGAGATTCTGGAAATGCTTGTATAAAGACTACATCTTAATTGCACACGCAGTCAGTCTCAGTATCCTGTAATAAATTCTTTTAATATATAAGGTGTTTGTTTAACATCATTTGGCTCACAGCAGATTTCTCTATTGTCATCATAATTAATCCCCATTTGTTCATAAATAGGTGTTCACCTACTGTGTGTATGCATAAAATGCCCATTGACTAACAAATGGGAATACAGTAGTCACTAAGAGAAACAAAATTACCATTTCATAAAATCAAGTTAAGCCTTTTGTTTGCTTCAGAATTCTCAAAATTTCTGTTCAGAATGCCAGTAGGGGATTAATGAAAGTAATAGGTTAGGTCTTTTTACACTGCATGCATATTAAATCAGTTGAAGCACTGACAAACCAGTCCACGTCCGTGGAAAAAATTACCAGCAAGTAATAGCCCTAAGGTAGCCTAACCAACAAAGAGCCATTCTTCTTAAGAGGAGATTTTAAACTCTGATTTTATTGTAATTCTACTTTTCTGTACTGTATAGTGGAAATTTAAACGAGACCACTGCCAGAGGGGTTTATTCAGTTAGTCCATGTTACTGTACAAGCACAAGATTTCTATATCAAGCTCTACTACCCACTGTGTGAAGTTGGCTACGCTTGCCAGACCCCTGTGTCTGGGGAGTTTTGATGACTAGCTGTTTCTGGTTTTTTTTTGGTTTTTTTTATGGAAATAAATAGCTCTCCTAAATCCGTATTTTTGCTTTATTAAATTATGATTTAGTTACATTGAAGAGGATGAGTAAGATGGTGTTGAACAGAAATGCATGTAATTGGGCTTAACCTTATAAAGTGCTTTGCCTTACATTTTGCCGGAATGATTTGGAATATTGACAATACCTACTTTATTTGTTGGAGGTATATAATACTAACTTTTTACATCACATGAATTGCGGGTAGATAATTGGTTAAGTAAAAGCAAATTGTATGCCTTGTAGTGTACTTTGTGAAAACAACGGTAAACAGTGAGTGTGTAATGAATGTCGTACATTTTTCTAAATTGTTTTAGCAAACCCTTAGGTATCTAAGGAGAAGGAAGATGGTATTGAAGAGTCTTTCTTCTCTGAGCAATTAGTTCGAGTTCAGCAAAGATTGTAGTGACTCACAGTTGTTTCTGAATGCAGTGATCAATGATATGCTTGTTTAGGCTATGTAAAGTATATTCTGCTGCCATAACAAATGCTGCTTTTGGACAGGAAACTACAGCTGTAGAAACTGGGTTTCTAAATGTGTAACACTGTGCTTTGTCCAGTTGCTTTAAATACAGTTTCCGTGCTTGGTCTGTCAGTAGGCACTGTTAACAAGCAACGATATTTTCAGAAAGATAGACTAAATGTTCTTATTTCCTCTAGAAGTCACAGCGCTTGAAATTTTAGGGGGAAATCACTGTGTATAAAGGTAGTCGTTGCACTTGAGTAGTTCTGATAAGTTATGATAAATGCATACCATAAAAACTCAACTTTGCAGAAGAAAGTTCAGTCATTCTGATATAGTAGAGTACAGCCTTCAGAATGAGGTTTTACTTTTCCTGAGGATTCCTGAGGAAATGATTTGCTTTTCAGCACAGCACATATGCAGCACTCTTACTGATTTGGTTGTCTACTGTATGAAAGTTACGCTATTTTTCTCTACAGGAAAATACCTAAGAAATTTTTTGATGATGCTTTTGTGGAAAAAAAATACATATATGATCTTTATTTTTGTTTTCAGAGAGCTATTGCTTATCTCTTTCCTTCTGGCTTATTTGACGAACAAGCCAGGCCCATGATGAAGGTAGGATTTTTTTGTTGCATTTCTGAGTAACTGTAGCATGATATTTTAAGTAACTTTTTCCTTTTGCTGATATTTGTTTATTTACTTGCAGCATCCTTCTGAAATCTTTCCAGAGCAGAGGAGTAAGTGTTCATAGATTATTATGATATTATTATTGTTATTATTTCTAAGTATTAGAATTTTTGCATATGTGGAATTCCTTATTTTCACAGATTCACTTTTCCCCCATGTTTCTAACAACTTCTAAGACATGAGCAGTGAAAACCTTATCTGATATTCTAGTTTTTAGGGTATAAAGTACTGCTAGATTCTGGAACATCAGTGGTCTTTTCGGATGTCTTGTTAACTGACTATAGATAAATGTTTTTCATTTTGTAAAAATAAACAGTAGATAGGATGCTGTGCAGAATCTGTTAAAATCGGGGGGAAGACCTTTTGTTGAATTCAGTAGCTTTTTGTCAGAGCTGTCTATCACAGCCGTAAAATATTCATTAATACTATTTTAAACCATAAGTTTTTCTGGTAACTTCATTGCTCTAAAAGCTTAGAAATTGCAGCTTTAAAATTGCCAGTTGAGAGAACAGGGAGAGTGGAAACTCTCCCAGTCACATCTTGGTTTTTGCCTGAAAGTCCCAGCTCCACGCTTATGTCCATACTGTCTTTGGTCTTGCCCCTGAGACACTGTGTGAAGTCCCAGCTGTCAGAGATACGCCAGTATGTTGGTCAGTGAGAACTTCACTGAAATCATCAAATTAGTTTTACATAGAATACATTTAAAAGCTATGTCAAAACCTGACCACTTCCGACTCATGTTAGGTATGAACCGGTAGCATGGGTGTGAAATTCTGCTCTCTGCTGAGCTATCAAGTCCCAGATGGACACTTCTGATTATTGGTGAAATCTTACCATTTGCCTTCCTTCCTTAATTTCCCTGTTCCTGGAATTAATTGATACTTGATGTTTTGGGGGCTTTGTGTGTCTTTTGGAAAGCTGTCTAAATAATCTAAAATTTTGGAATTTCAGTTTTCAAATGGTATGATGCCTTATTTTCTAACTTCACAGTATTGTGAAGTAAAAAGTAGACAGCAAAAGGGTAAGGGAGAGTTAATCATGATGCAGCTTTAAAATCCAAGGGCTGTTTTATGGCAGAACTGAGCTACTATTCTATATGTTTTTAGGACTAAAGAATTCTTTGAAATGCTAGTTGTGTCCTGAGGAGTGTAAGAACTAATTAATAGAAACGTATATCTTTGTATTTACATCTAAAAATAGCATTTTCAACAAGAATCTCTTGTAAGGCGGCATTGTCTTGTCCATGCATTGAATCTTTGATAGTTTTGAAGTACAAAACCGTAAATTTATACTGCAGAATGTTCCCTGTACAGTAATTTCAACAAAATATGCTTTCGCAGCTGCATACATGCAAATTCACACATTCTGCTAGTAGTATGTGTGGGTAGAAGCCCCCTGTATTCCTTCTGTTCTAGTAAGTTTTGCATCTTTCCATTCAGCTTCTGCTGTATGATGTCTTAGCGTTCCAGTGCGATAGACATTGTGCTTATCAGACAGGTTCTCGGAGTCTTATCTTTGCCTGTGGCTTAAATAGCTTCATTTAAACATCCCTGGATAAAATGGCAGTTCAATTTGTAAAAAGCTCTCAGGTTTTTATTTTTGTCACTTTTCTTTATTTGAAAAAGATCTTTGTAGTGTTATATTTAAGTTGATTTTTTTCCAAAGTTGAAATTTATTTGTCCTTAAATAACATTTTTTTTGATTAATAAAATAAACTGGATGTGCTGAATGATACGGAATATATGTTTTCTTGCTGAACTAATTATGTCAAACATGGTATAGGTCTTTGTCTTTAAATACTCCAAAAGTATTAACATGAACATGTCCTAAAATCACCCAAGTTCTGAATACACTTGTTACCGCAGAAGAAAATTGTATGAAAACTTAAGTATAGTTTAGACATACTATACTAGTAAAAAAATTTGCTCTGGATTTCAAGCACTGTTTTCCAGAGCTGTTAGTTTTTCATCTTCAACAATCATATAGACTTCAGTTGTCTCTTAATTTGTACTTCTTCCTATTCTGAAATGGATACTGCTATCTGTAATACGAACTGTACAGTCCTTGAAAGTTTATTGAAGATGTACATGAGGGATATCCTCATGTTAAACAATATTTGGAAATATTATATTAAATATTTGGTTATAATTGCAGATGGAGATTGGTTTGAAACAAAGTAGTCTGATTTCCAGACAGGTCGAATACCCGTAACATGTCTTTGTTCTCTGATATTTAAAAAGGTAATCGGTGTTATGAAAGTGGTTTATAACTGCCATTAAATACAGGGGCTTTTTTAGTGAGTGTATATTGCTTTCTTGTCTAATCTTGCTTTTCATTAGAAATCCAGTGGGGAGAAGATGGCCGACCATTTCACTTTCTTTTTTATACTGGCAAGCAGTCATATTACTCATTAATGCATGTAAGTATGTTATAATGTGTAATAAATAATGTTAGTTCCCAGTCAAGTACATGTTACTGTAGAGATGTGTATCTCGAGCTCTTGAGTTTCCTCATGTTTTCGCAGTAGGCCGTAATATCACCACTGAAGCTGAATGCAGTGTATATTTTTATGTCAGTATATCCATTATTAGGGGCATTTTTATGTCACATTTAAGAGAACAGACTACAAAATAGTTCCTGTTTTAATTTTTGGTTTATTTTATAGTTTTGGCTATGGACTGGGTTTGAGTAGTCTGAATGTTTTCTTGTAGACTGTTTCTGGTTAGTAGCATGAGGTTTGTAGTGGAGAATGCATATATAACAAAAATGGCTAGTTCTAGGAAAATTCATTGTAGAGTAAAAAATAATGTTGTTTTTTTTTCCCCTTGAAGGGCAAAGAAAGCTATAGGACATGTTATTTGTACTGACATTTAGTGTGAAGAAAATTTGCATTTAAACTGCTTAATTGATTTTTCTGAGCCTGTTCCATTCATGCAAACTTAAGGCTTTTTCTGATTAGTATGGTTCCAGGAGTGAAGGATCTGCATCTGTTTACCTTTATGAAAAAAGCTGTATCTAACAGAACATCACTAGACCCTGAGTCTTAACATGGATTGTGAGCAGATGCTTCGTATCTGTGACCGTCACTGGCGCAGGCGTTATCTGCCTCTTCAGAAGAGTTTATAGAGAGATATGCATGTTTCTTACGTGTACTTACAGAAGACAAAAGCATTAATCATGCATGCAGAAATATTTAATTGGACAATCGTGTCAGATTTTGTTTCTTTATTAGGTAGTCTTAAAAAGTTAGTTCTATGTTTAGTCTGTTGTCAAAAAAAAAAAATCTTATGTTGTCAAACTCGGCACACAGCTTCACTGAGTGTAGTGTTTTTATTAGAATTATCTGGTATTTATTTGCGTTCTGCGTACCTAGAGGACAAAATCCGCACTTGTCAGGTACATTTATTTCTTTGGGAGAATAAAAACCACCCCTCCCCTCTTTTTTTCTGTTGTTGACCTTGGGCAAATGAGCTTCTTGCCCTGGCAGAAATGAAATGAATGATAAATGTAGAGTGTGTCTTTGCTGAGTAATGGAGCCGCGGCGGAGGCTTTCCACAGAGGTTTTCTCTCGCACAGCCTGAGGCAGCCCGAGGACCCCTGCTGTTCATTTAAATAGGTATGTCAAATCTGCCTCGAAACGCCGCTGGTTTGATCTGTGGTAATATTTGTGAAGGTTCCATATGGACTTGAGCCCCCTGCAGTGCTAAGAAATAATGTACAACGCTTCATGGTGCAGACGCAAATTTTCTCTGAAAAGGGATGCAGTGCTGCGTTTTAGCTGTCGGAGAGGATGATGGAGCTGACGCGCTAGGCCTGTCAACTTGTTACACGGATGGCTTGCACGCAGCGAGGCTGTGGAAAATCTGTGCCTTTTAACTTTTCTACTTAATCACGGTTGTAGCATTGCCTTTAGACTGTATGCTACATTAATTCTCTTCCTGCCTTCTGCCTTTCATCCCAAGTTTCACGGAAAAAAGTAAAGCATGCAGGTCTTGTAGAGGAGCCTTATCAAACAGCTGTCATCCGACAAGCTATTTGCATTTGTTTTGGCTGAAACAGAGCAACCCAAGGGCAAGATGTTTTTGTTGCATTCCATCATAATGAAGAAATTACAAATTTTACAAGGAGCACAAGTTTATTTTTAGCTCTTCCTAGCAGTGAGAAAGAGCACGCAAGCTTGCCTTGGAAATCTCTAAAAGAATAGTGTGTGTCTTGTTTCTAACAGCGTGGCAGCCACCCTCAAACAAATTGGTTTGGTAAATGCATTTTTCATTAGTATAGGAGACTTGAGTTTCTTTGACTGTCTCTAAATATTTTTCATGAAATAAGGGATTTAGGTGTAGAGAAGCCTAAGTGAGGTTTAACAGGGTTGTTGGTTTTTTTGTCAGCTAAATGAAAGCTGAAATCTGCATGAAATTCCCAACGTTGTTTTAACTTCTTATGAGGCCAATGTGTACTTAAGAAAATGTATTTTGAAATCTTAAAGCTAATTAATTCAGCTAGGGAGAAAAGGGTTGTATGTTACACAGCCTAGTGTAAGTAATCAGCCCCATTTGAGGATGTCCTTTAAATGCTACATTAAGTCCAATAAATCAGATTAATATTTAGCTTAAACTTGTATACCACAAATTACTACATAGACTCACGTGGAACTTCAGTTTTATTAATTGCTGGTAATATAACTGATCACAGCATTATTTAGTTAATGTTAATAAATAATATTGCTCACTTACTAAAACAGACTGGGTATATTCACATGTATTATAACTGCGAATATATATTGTTATGACTTGAATATTAAATTAACTTTCATAAAGGATATTTGCTTTACATTCCATTGTTGTCTTTGTTCTGCCTGTTGAATAAAGTTTAGCTGTAGGGAAGAAGACAATTTTTTTTTTTCTTCTGATGCACAGAAGAATGTTTATTGCATGAAATACCATTTCTTGAATGTTTGATAGTATGTTTGATCATCATTGAACTTAAAAGTTTTTAGAGTAATGTCATGTTTTTGTAATTTGTAGAACAAGATGAAATGGTCTCTACTTACCATTCTATCTAGCAAAATAGGAATTTTGTGTAATTGTACTTGTTGTACTTCTTTAGAAATATCAGAGGTTGAAGATCAAGGGTAAATGCTCTAACAATAGAGCATTTTAACTTTTGAAAACAAAACCTAAAATACCCTGAAGTATATGCTGAAGTCACAAACACTTAAGAAGAAAAAAAAATACAAACTGTGATGTAAAATGATGTAGTCTCTGCAGCATATTGTAACCAATATATTAAAATTAGATTTTTATGGAAAAAAAAAATCTTGCTTCTAGGGTTCCATTTGCTAATTTCTTCCCCAAAATTTTTATGCAGAATAAAATAAGAGGTTTTTTTTTTTTTTTTTAATTTTGAGAGAATGCTTGTAGAGATCTGAAATTTGATCTATTAGAAATGGAAGCATTTCAGTATGTAGCCAATCTTGTAAAATCAGCTATTTTGATTGTGTTAAAGCTGAGTTTACAAGACACACAGATGTGTACGTTCATGAATTGGACTATTGAATCCTGAAGTGATTAGTAAAATCTTCACCTGCTAGCTTTGAAAAAGCAAATGTGCCTTCAGATGCTTGCTTTAGCCTTTGGGGAGTGAAGATTTGTCAGATAAATTATTGGGCATTACATGTTATTCCTGATTTTGCAAAGGCTCTTCCACATACTTGACTTCACACGTGAGTGGTTCTTTTACTCTGTTGACTTCATCTCTATATAGAGATTAAATACATGCATTAATTTTTTTTAATACTTAAGACCAAAATTTTATTTCATGCCAGTCCATTTTCCGTGCCAGAAGTATGCAGGAAATTATATTTAGTGTTTCTCTAGCACTTACTGGTATTTTAAACTACTACTTTTTAATGTTGTTTGACTTCATCTGCTGTATAAGGGTTCTTTGTATGAATGGACATGATTACTTTAACTAGATCAGTTTGAAGAGGTGATTTTAATTCCTAGAAGTGCACATTCTTAGAACTTAAACAGGCTGTGGAGTGTTGGTATTCTTTGAGAATACCTAGGGAGGGTCTTCAGGAAAATCTTTCTCTTCCAGCTGCTATAAAGCTTTCTTTGTAGTTGGAACAATGAATTTCTGAGGCAAGAAACTGGTGGGTGGCAACCCACGCTTCATTTTGTTTGCCTGTGTACATCAGTCATTTCCGAATATGATGACAAAATCCCTAAGTTTACCTTTAACTTGTATCAGGTTACCTGAAAAGACCTCAGTTGCTGTGTAGAAGCAATTCTGATTATAGTCAGTCTGTCCTAAGGTAACGGCTGTGGTTCCCTCCCCCTGCCCTTTTTTAAAGAACTGTGGTATAGCTGTGTTTTTGTAGAGCTCCTGGGTTTTTTGTGTGGTTTTTTTTTTTTTTGTTGTTGTTGTTTTTTTTTTCCCCTGACTAATCCAGTGGATAAATGCATATGCTAGAGTATAGTGAAGATGATGGGTACTGGTGAGGAGGCAGACCGGGCTGCTTTGCCGGGTAGGAAGGTGACACTCAATGCCTTGTGAAGGCAAATGGTAAGGCATGAGGCTAGCAGTAAATTGAAAAGCCTCCTTAGGCACTTGTAAGACCTAGTAACCCACTACTACTTTTGATCATCTAACACCAAAATATCTTCTTCATGCTTGGTTTGACTTCTTCCAAATGTAGAAACTCATGGAGCTCACAGGAGTCTCGAAGCCTGGTCCAGCTGAGCGCTCCGCAGCTAGCTGAGGGCGCAGCCCTCCTGCCCCTTCTCTTCCCTCCCTCGACAGGCCAGAGCAGGAGCTTCCATACTGATTCTTTTTCGTGTCTAACTACAGATGTGTAAAAATTGCTTGGTGTCAGGCACATCTCATGCCCTCTGACACAAACCATGTCTCTGCTTTTCCTATATAGTCAAAAATTTTTGCAACCTAACAGTTGACTGAATGGAGCCGTTAATATTATTAGTGACGTGACGTGAATCTTGCCCCAAGTAGTGCTACCAAATCTTGTTGTCTTAGAGATCTACAGATACATTTATGGGGTTTGGAAATATTTGAAAATATGATTTATTGTGCTCTATTTATATTCAAACACAGGAAACATCATATAAAAGACTTTTCTGAAGTTTAAAAATTTTCCTAGTTCCTATCTGATACCGTTACCTCTTATCAAAAATAGCGAATTTCTGAAAGACCTACAACTATAATATGTGAGCTTTTATGCTGTCTCAAAGAAAAGTGGACAATTTTGTACTTCAGGATTTTGCGCTGTGGAGTTATTCCAGAAATACTTCTGTTCCACTATGCTGTTAAAAAAAAAAAATCACCAATGACCTGCATCAGAGTCTTCAGTGAATTGTCCCTGTTTAAATGCTTTGAGTGCAGCTCGAATAACAATCTGTTCTTAGTTCATACACTTTATGGACAAATTTTTAGTATATGTACAGTTGTGGTTTTGCAATAGTGAAGTAATCAGCATGAGGGTAGATGTTTATAACTAAGCAAAGTTTTTTGTGTGTTTTTTTTCAATGTAAAGTGTTGAAGAAATTTCATTGCATCCTGTTGCAAATCCCAATATTGTGTTAAGAACTAGTACTTCATTGGTTTATTTTTGACAGTACAGAGCTGTTTCACATTTCTTCTTTTACTGTTTTTTGTAAGTAATACAAAGAAAAAACCCAAGCAACCATTATTCCTTGTCCCCACTAATTCTTACACTATAATTTCTAGTATTTGCTAAAACTCATTACATTAATAAGGTCTTTGAAAGTGATTATAAGCTTGCTGTTTTCACTTCTTAATGAAAGTAAATTATTTGGCATATAAGTCCTTTGTTGCAGTACAATTTGTTTGTTTCAATATTATTTATAGTTATTTCTCCAAATACTATGATTTAATTTGTGATTTGAATCACAGTTGTAATTGAGAGTAGTAGATTATTTTAGGTGATAGATTTTAGAACCAAATAGTCTGAAATTTTACGAACTGAAAATACTTTATTAAAAGCGTGTTTCTTCTGTAATATTTTCAGTGTGACTTTTTGGAATGTTGTTTTTGTTTTTCTGAAGTGGTAAATCACTGTCATAGCATGGTTTGAAAATAATAGCATAGCTAAGAATTTTGAGAAAACTGTTTTAAAAAAATACTGAAAATTCAGAGTCAATATGTTTGTAACACTTGAAAGAAAAGAAATTCTGATTATGGCAAGTATACAACTTTGTCCCTATGGACATGGCTGGGTAGGAGGGAGTTCTGACTGATACAGACCACCAATAAAGCTGATGCTCTAAATGTGGCAAAAAAAAATCTAGTTAAATTATTTAAAATCTTAAACCATGTCTGTATTTTGTGGAAGTCAAACTAAAGTGTGGATGCAGTGGTGACGTTATTGTGTAGTATGTTTTGGAGTTGCATCCGTTATACAAATGTATACAGTTGAGAATTTTTTTACGAATGTATGTAAGAAGGCAACAAACACTGTTGAAGTAATATAGCAGAATTCAAAATTAATTACTTTGAACTGCATATGAAAATATAATATATACTATCTAAATGTTTGTTGGTTTAGATTTCACTTGTTATATTATTTTTTCTTAATTGTTAGACTTCTGCTTGTTTTCTGACCTTTTATGAATTTTAAGTGTTCGGAGAGCAAATCCACATAAACATGTGTTTTAAATAACAAAATATTAAATACTAACTGGAAAAATGTATTTAAATACTTTCTCCATTTACCTTTTAGGAAACATATGAAAAATTGCTAAATGTTCAGAAATATCAAGACGAACTGACAGCTCAAGATCTTCCTCCTCAGAAGGAAAAGAGGTAAGCTGCTTCTTGGAATATTGATACCAGTTTTCTTAAAATACTTCAGTGTGTTGTTTTGGCACTTCTCATAGTTCCCCACTCTAACTGCCTTTTCTTCCACAAACACATTTTCTGAGTTTTTCCGTATTCCTTGTAAAATATTTGTATGGTAATTCCAGGCTGAAAAGCCTTATCTGTAGTACGGACATGTGGGGTGTTCACTTCTCACTGCTAAAACAGGGAAAACCCGCCTATTTCTCTTGCTCTTTAATCTCTCCTATATAAAAAATCTGAAGTGTGATTTGGAAGTAAGTAGAGTATATCCAGAATTCATTGTTTCTGTATGTGAAATTTTCTAATTATTTCTTTAATAAAGGTCTTTTGAAAAAGGAGGTATACTATAAGAAAAGGCATTTTAAAGTACCAAAGAAGTTGCTTATCTGTTCGTAAAATCCTAAGGCCTAAACATGAGCTCTCTAATAGTCTTTCATTAATTACAGTTCTTGACTATTTTTACTTACCAATATTTAACTTGAAGTGTATTGAAATACTTAATTTCACTATTTTTCTTCTAATGCCTTTGTACAGCTAAATCATCAAAAACTATAGTAATTTTAGAGAAGTTTATTTGGTTGGATTAGTTTAAGTATCACCATTATTAGTAATTGACTTTAGTTTCTCTTCTTTTTCCTCTAACTTCTCTGGTATGCACAATAAGCTCTCCAGCTAGTTAGCCACTGGACAGAAAAGGTACATGTCACCCAAAAGCAGCTATGGGAGATGCTATAGTTGTTAGTTTCTCAGTGCATCAGTCAGGATTGTCTTTGAAATGGGTATATGCTTTAAGAACTGTTTGCTCTATTCTTGTTTTTCTGTTTTGAGATTTTTTTGCAAGGATTTTGTGATATATTAGGATACTAATTTGAGCAAGTCTTTAAAAGAAGTGGATACAGATAGGAATTTTTCATTTTTTGCATTTGCAACTTTTCTGTATAGTTACTTTTTTGCTGTCCCAGTTGTTTTTATCTTTGTTCTTGCAGTATATTTTCTAGCCAGATTTATGTGCTGTTCCAGTTGCACATCATGTTGGTTTGTCATTTCTTAATTACAGCTATTTGTTATTTATGTTAGGAAGAGAAAGGATTAATTTGCTGAGATTATTTCAATTTCTTAAATAACAGACGTTCATGTTTCTTCATGATACAAATAGTGTCCTGTGACCCACAGAATGTTTTATCATAGATTCATGTTAGCTTCTGAGCAGACAAGAGAACAAATGAATTCAGTTTTTTCATGTAGGCTGCTGAAAAATAACCTGACTGCTTATAGAGCTCAGCCAGTGGATTTACTGATGTGAAAAATGACCTAAAGCTAGTCAGAGTTGAAAGGTTTTTTTCCTGTTAGGTTAAGCTCAGAGAACTTAAAGGATTTTTGAGACTTATTTTCCACACTGGTCGTGGTACTTCCTGTGAGATTAGCCTGGATAATTTATCTCCGAAGTGTAGGTAGAGGATGGGTGGGAAGGGCTGTTTGTTGGTGTGGTGGGCTTTTTTTTGTTGTTTTTTGGTTGGTGTTTTGTTTGTGGGTTTTTTTTTTGTTGTTTTCTTTTTCAGCAAATGATCTATTGTGGATGCATTCTGTAATATTAACTGTAGGGTTAGGACCTGATCTTGAACCACTTAGAGTTTATAGCTTTTCACATGTAAAAAATTTCATTGACTTCACTGGAAATAGCAATAGGTAAATTGAGTCTGTCAGGATTGGAAACTTTCAGAAATAACTGTTAAAACCAGTATTGTTTCTACGTGAATGTTTCTCATGCCCTGACTCAGAAAAGCATTAAAATACATACTTAAGAAGTAGTACTGCTTAAAATCTCCTTCAGAAGGAACACTTTTCTGAATTGTGGCTTCCTAAATGCTGCTGAAAACATTCACTAAAATTGTTTCTAAAAATCCTGAAGAAGTAAGAAACTAGTTCCAGTTTTGCCTTAAATTTACCTGATAATGTTGGCATAGATATTTATGGTGGCATTTTGTTTTGTTGATCGCTTTGTATCATACGTATTTCACAAAGATTTATTTCAAGCATTGGTTTTTCTTTGTGTTAGCATCTATGTATGAGGCTTTTTTCTTAGAAGTTTTTGCTTTTGCTATCATCACTGCAGTTTCTGTACTGAGCAGGTCAAGATTACACAGTAGGTAAAATACAGTGTGTCATAGCTGTATTAGTACTTTCACCATTCTTACTGCTAGTGGAGTTTTTAGTATTGATCAGGAAAGCGAAGGCCAGAGACAAAAATGTGTTACTTTAGAATCTGATTTTAATGTTCTGCCTTTGATTTTGTTCTTTGTTGCTTGTAAACCAAACTTTTCTTAGCAGCAGGCTTTTAAAACTAAGTCTTAAGTTGTGGAGAACATCGCCTTCTATAACAGTATTACTCCAGCTCAATCATGTACTTCAGTAATATGAATAACGCATAACTGATACTCATAATTTTCATGTGATTAATTCAATATGTGAAGTTACCATCCCTTTCAGAGAATCTTTTAAAATCAGCATAGGCCTTCTCACATTTACTATAGGAATGTGATCCGTATTCATTTGTAATGGAAAATGTATTTCTGAACGAAGGCTGACTGTATATATGGTCCTTTGTGATGTAACTCTAATTGCATGGTTAATTAAAGGGAGAATATATGTGATATTTTAAACAGAAACCTGGCTGGCACCAGATGGCTGACTAAGATTGAATTGGAAGAAATGTTGTTAGAAAAACTGTCAGAAGATGATGTAAGTAATTAATCTTTCTAATCTGAAGGAGACTTATGTCTTAAAAATACGGACTCTGGGTGCATTTTTGGATACTGAAAAGGTACTATGTAGAAGCAGGTGCTCTTCAAAAGAATTTTTTTCCTTCTCATAAAGTCTTCATTTGTTCAGAGCACTGTCACATTTCATGTTGTCTTGAGAAGTTCCTTGCGCTGCTTTTTTTTAATCTAGCACAGTACAGAAATATTAAGGATTTTCCATTGTTAGTAACAAGCTTTTCTCCTAATAGCATTGTGACACTTAGAGAGCTTGTTCCTTGTCATATAATTATGTAGTCAGGAATGAAGTACAGTAACACTTTGAAATAAATAGTCATTTACTCTAGGTACAGATGAAAAACGGACAGGGCTAGAAACTCTATTGCTTATTGTAAAGAAAGGGTAAATTTTCGAGATGGGAAACATCATGGATTTGTGTAGTAGTAAACCTGCACAGAGTTGTTCTGATTGTTTAATTGTTTAATCTTAAGAAGGACATGATAATGATAGAAAAATCACAGAGAAGGCTGATCAGAAATAAGGAGTCCATTTTCTTAGTGATTCGCTACAGAATGAAGTATCAGAAACAAGATACACAGCTGCATAGATCTGTGGTCTAATATAGGTATCTCTTGTTATATTCTGCTTGATATGAATATGGTGGGAGAGAGAGGAAGGATTTGCAGTTCCCCAGTATCTGCAAACTGTGTCACTGTCTGGGAAGAAGACTATTCATCCTGATAGGCTTATACTTTTTTCTCGCTCAGAGCTTTTTGCTACAGCCTCCTAAATAGCATTAGATTTTGTAACAGCAGGTTCAGTCTGTGTGGCCAGCTTTAGTTTTTTTTTGGAAGTTTAAGCTTGAATATGATAGCACCATAGATATAACATTATTTGTATGAGCATCTCGGGTATCTTCTCACCTAGAAACAGTGTTCTTCAATCTCTTCTGTCCTGTGGACAGCATCATTGCAAAAATAGCATTGCAGCAGCAAGCATGCCCTTTGCTCACTTGTCATCCAGAACAGTAACATGTGATGGCTTCCTTGTCTATGGGCGATGCGAAAAGATCCTGAGTAGATTGTGGTCCGTAAGTGCAAGTTAGAAATCACTGTTGTAAATTCTTCATCCTGGTGTACCGAGGAGACTTGGTCTATCTTGCTCACAATAGCAGTTATGACTTCAGTGTTTTCAGTAGCTCCTGCATTTGGAATTTATTTTTATTATGCGATTGCAGCAAGATTTTCTGTGGTGGTGATGTTATTAAACAACATCAGAGCTACTGATATCTCTTTTTCCTTTGCACTCTGCAAGTGAAAACTGACAGAAGCTTTCTTTATCTATAGCCTCTATAATTTTTAAATGTTTGTATTTTTATATTTCTGCTCTTCAAAGGCTTTACCACATGTCTGTATCATATCATTATACAGAAGTAGCTTTCTAAGTGAGGTCAGAATTCCAGGGGCTATTGCTAGGTTACAAGAAAAGTATCAATTTTGTGCAGAAGACTCTGGTAATAGAGAAGAAAATCTACTTTTAATAACAGTTTGTAAGTCAAGACAACTTCAAAAATAAGGTTAGGATATCTCTACGAAAAAATCCATTTTAGATGATAGCATACCTTAATATCCAGTGACCAGCTGTCTAGTGCTCCTTCCAGTAGCACTTCATAACAGGACACCCCAGCTTTTAGTGCAAATGGGTTAACACAGTGGTGTTTACTCTTTAATCACATGTTGAAGAACTTTGGAGGGGGTGTAAGGGGGAAGGAGAACCACACAGTAGCAGAGGATAATTTATTTCAAGAGGTTGCCCTTTAAGTCAAGGATCTCTTGAATTTTTAAATAGCTTGATTGTTCGGTTTTAAAGGAAATCATAAACATTAAAGTAACTCAGCTTGAACAGCCAAAGATAGATAGATAGGTATTTCCTGTACATATTATGAAATATAATCATGTAAGAGGTTCAGTTTAGTGAAATAAAATTATTTCCAAGTCAATGAACATGCTGACTTATTGAGAATGAGGTGAAAATCTTTTCCTTTTGCCATTTTAATAATAAAATAATAAAAGAATGAAGACCCCCCCCAATGTTTTCTTTTTAAGTGAGGTGAACTTTATTCTAATACAATAATCCTGTGTTACAAAGGGGTTGGTTATGCTTTGAATTAAAGTTTCATTGTTGCCCTTAGAAAGAACTAGGTATCTTTAGTCACATAGAAAATGATGCATCTGCATGCTGTTCTTAAATCAGCATGTAGGTGCAAAAGTGTCATCTTGTCAGAAATCATCAATAAAAATGAAGTAGGAAAGATCAATTATATAAAAATAGAAAGTTTTAGCAAATGCAATTACACTTGCATTCTTTAATGAAGTCGTCTTGTCTACAGTATTCGAGATTTATTCAGCTTTTACAAAAATTGGTGACATTGCCATGTGGTGACATCGAGGAGAAGTATATACAAAAGTTTTCCAAAGAAGTTCCGCAACAGTTGAAAAAGGTAGTTATTGAGCCTTTGAAGTATGATGAGCGAGGAGTGGCCTTCAGCACCAGTGAAGGTAATAATTTCAAGTTGGTTGGTAATGATGCAGGATTTTTTCCTCTTCACACTTCCTTTATAGTATGTACAACACTGCTGAATGAATCACTACTTCATATTATATGCTTATGTATAATTGTTAATTATAATTTTATGTGCATGTATAATTGTTAATTGTGTTACAGCATACTAAGTTATGACATGGCATGGTAACAAAGTAGAAGTTTTTGGCACAGAGGCTGTCAGCTGTTAATTGTTATCTGTATTTCTATGCAGTAGTACCTTTGCAGAGAAGACGGTGTTGTGCTGCATGTTGTAGGACACAAAAGGACTTTCATTGCTGACAAGAGCTGACTGTTGAACGTGAAGGGTGGGGGACTGGGGTAGCACAAACACAGGTGGAGAATTCAATGGATGTAACAGTGTTGTTGCTTAGTATAGAAGTGGCATGCTTAGACCACTAAGTAACCTTTATCATGACTTTTGTAGGCAGTCCAGCAAAGGAGAATTTTGAAGATGCGAAGAATAAATAGCAAGGCTTTTGGATATTTACAAACAGCCTAGGAAGATACAAAGTGGGAATTCCTAATTCTATCCTAACATGGATAGAAAAGTCTGATGGCTCTCTGGACAAAGCATGCGTACACACACACTCTTTATGTCTATGCTGTACATTTAAGAAGAATCTATCAGAGATGACATGTATTCTTAAGCAGTAGGCAGTGGATGATAATGAGAACAAAGGTCATGGAGAGCTTGAGGGGCAAAATGGCTAGAGAGCTCTGTTCTAGCTGGGTTGGCTTCAAGATGACGTGACAACAAGGAGATGTGAGAGCGCCAAACTGGGATTTAATCCACACTTGTGTTCAGTAGCATCTTCATAATAGTAGTTACTGAAGTTTGATAAACATGCAACCCATGTTATTTAAGAAAAAACATCAGATTTTGTAAGTTTAAGAACAATCTTGTTTGTGTCCCATCACCCCCTTAAATTAAGAAAAATGTCTGATTTGTTCCATAATTCCTTTATCAGAATGATTGCTTCCGTTGTGCTACAGAAGATTGGTCTTAGGATTTAGCAGAGAGAGTTTATAATGTTTTAACTTCAAGCTAATGCACTTAGAACTAACTGTAGGTAGTAACCTGAGGAACCTATGCTAAATGATGCATAGGTGTTGCTTATACCAGTGTAATTAATGTGTTAACATTTTCCATGTGGATATTCTTAAACTTTTGTACCTTCATATGATTTTATAAAGTATTTTAATATTATTGGAAATTGTGCTGATGGTGAACGTAGGTGTTCAACCGTTTATTTTCATACACTGTGACATCACCAGGTCAAGAAAGTGTCCTGATCTACTGAAGTTGTGGGAGGTAGTGTTACCTCTACCTCCTCCCAAAGCACACTTTCTCCACCCCCCTTAATAGACATTGATTAAAATATATTGAAACCTACCTGTTCATTGTTTGTATTTATTTCCTTCTCTTAATGTTTTTGTTTTTGTTACCTCAGCCTCCGAAAAGAAACAGCTGGTAATGTATGAAAGTGTTGAGATTTGCTTAACTTCTTGGGTGCTTGAAATTCCGTAGAATATTGGAGCCTTGTAACAGATTGGTTTTAATTCCTTTAAGGTACAAGAAAAACCGCAAGAGCTACTGTAGCAGTTTATGACAATGGGACTGGAAAAATTACAGTGAATGGAATAGACATTTTACATTACTTCCCAGTGCTGCAGGACAGGTGAGAGCACTATGAAATGCTGTTCTTGCTGTACTTAAACTATTCCACCAAAAGTCACGCTATGCAATTATATTTTGGTGCTGTGTTCCACAGAGTTCATGATATATTCTTGTTTCTGTATATCTGTCTGTTTTGTGAAAGTTGATCTTGCTTTTCCTCCTGGTTTTCGGGAGTCAGTTGTATAAGGATTGATGGAGAAGCCTTGTTCTGTGTTTCTTGTCTCTCCCTTGCTTGAAGGGGTGCAAAAACCAAGAGCACAGACTATTTGGATAGTTCAAATTTTAGTCCACTTAGGGCTTGCTGTTTATTTTAAAAATAAATCAATAATAAACAGTGTCTTTAAATGTTTTCCTAAGAGATTTGCAGACTCTATGCATATGTAATTATTCTGGCATACAGTAACATAGTGGAAGCAAATGGGGTGAGACACTTCATGTAAAGCTTCAGATTTTGGAGAATGCACCCAGTCTGATGTACAGGAGACTTCTCATAAGAAGTTGACAGAAGCTGTCTATCCCTTATGTGATTTTTATGTTATACTGTGGTTTCTGAGCTCAAGAATAGAGTGAAAGATTGCTCAGTTTGAATATCCAGAGCTGATGGATCTTGGCATGTATAGGTAATCAGTGAAACAAAATTAATTGTACAACTGAACTTAAAATACTTACCACTGGAAATTTGAATATGTTCCTAGCTGCTAATTTCCCATTTATTAATATCAGTAGGAAATTAGAGATATGAATGCCTTTCTGGATCTCTGCCTGAAAGTTAACTATTTTCGTGTATGCTATGATAAGAAATATACATAGACTGTAACTTTGTATACATGTATATATTTATTATGATTATTTTTTTTATTTTTAGAGAACAGTTGTTGTTCCCTTTCCAGTTTCTTGACAGAATTGGAAAACACGATATGGTTTGCACAGTCTCTGGTGGAGGAAGATCTGCACAGGCTGGTGCAATACGTTTAGCCTCTGCAAAAGCCTTGAGGAGTTTCGTGACAGAAAAGGAGGTGGAATTCATGAGGCAAGGTAGGAATTTAAATAATTTCAATTTTTTTTAATGTGTTTCTGGTAATTAACGGAATTAGTACAAGGATCATTAAGGATCAGATAGTGCAAATTTGAGTAAATAATCCCAGTGAAACCTTGTGTATTGTATGAAAGGGATCTGCATTTATTTATAAATTGTTTTAGTTTGTTTCCTTTGTGTACATTTGGGATGACTTCTTGAGCATTTTTCCAACTGTTCATGACCTCTTAGTTCTGTTAACCAGCTTGTGTTGCCTCAACAGAGAATCACAAAACATGAATGTATATTCACTAACAAATAAATCTGGATCAGGCATTAGTGAGCTGTAAGGTACTGAGATTATATTTTATTTTACTTGGTTAGTCACATCTTGTTCATGTTTAAAAAAGCTTTATTCTCAGACTTAAACACTAGAGGGTTAGCGTTGAAGGGACGGTAATGAGCACAAACACATTACTTGCAACTAGCCAGACTGAAGGAGCATCTTTTCTCTCTTGCTTTATTTAGAATTTACAAGATATCTAGGATAAGATAGAACTTATTTGGGTAACTGCAGTATTTGATGCTTCTTGGTGATGTAGATGCCTTGCTGTTTCAGCAAATACAGAATTAGAACAGTGAGCTCTTAACTCTGTTCTTTCGGGACTAGCAGGGAGAATATCTTTGTATATTACTGGCACAACAGCTGTGAGTTTTTTCACTCTACCATCCGTGGAAGTAAAGCTATCTTCATGCTAGTATCTTTGCAAGAAGTTTCTTTGAGTATAGTTTTTCAGTACTGACAAGTATGACTTGCTAGGAATAGCCCTGTAAACTGACATTATAAGGAGGTGGGTATTACAAGTGAGATCAGCATAATTCTGAACATGTTCTGGACATTGACAAATATACTTTGTAAGCACTTAAGTGTACTTTAAAGCAGTGGTCTCCGAAGTCGGGTGTGTGCACCTTGGTGTTGCACAAGATCCATTGGGGTGCAGGAAGAAAATCTTAGAATTTCAGTAGTGTATATAACTTAAAGATTAATAAATACACATATTTTGGGAATTCATGCTCAAAAATATTTTACTGGTAGGAGTGCACAACCAAAAAAAGTTTGAAGACCACTGCTTTAAAGGCTTAGGCAATATAGATATAAAACAACGTGGGAATTTTTTTAGTGGTTTTTAAAGTAAAATGTGAAGAAAGTTCAGTTACTAAAGAAAAGTTAAAATGTTAAAGGATCTGATGAAATTCCTTTCAGTGTGTTTTATACTGAACTCTTATCCTTCGAGATGTTACAATTAATATGCAAAGCTATTGGCTACCTTGAATCCCTCACATATAGTACATCTGTAATATTAACTAATAACAGTAAATAAATGGGTGCTTTTCTGTGTTTTGTAGCTGGACTACTAACACTTGACCCACGTGTGAAGGAACGAAACAAGCCTGGTCAAGAGGGACCCAGACGGAAATTCACCTGGAAAAAGCGATAAGTTTGAGTATTCAAAGAATGACGGAATGCTACCAGAGTTTCAAAACGCCAGAATTATGATTTTAAACTATTGTATAAATATATTCAGTAATAAAGATTTTTTTTTTCCATTATAACTACTGTTTTCTCTGTTCAAAAAGCAACGAATGACTTTCTTCAAATTTATTTAAAATTGTGGTGTGATTTGCCAGAATGCTAGATCTAAAATAGTAACTTCAGTGCCAGCTTTGCATCTTGGCTCCACTGAAGTCAATAACGATTTATGAGACCATTGGTGGATTATTACTTTTAAAAATTAGTCTATTTGTTTAGTGGTCTAAATTCTGGAATTAGGCAGCTCCTAAACAGGTGTTTGGGTAACTTTGACATGCCTCACGTTTTGCCCCACAGGTACTGGAGGATGAGTGACAACTTCCCACCTGAACTATGGTGGAGTTGAGAAACTAGCGAGAAAGGTACTGACAGTTGAGGGGATGTTGGGAGAGGAACAGTCGTGGAAGACAACCTTTGCCTACGGAATCTGTTGTCTTCAGGATGCCTCCCTAGGCTAAGTAGGGAGTGATTCAGAGCAAGTACCTAAATTTAGGTGCTCTGAATCACCCTCTGGAGGAGTCAGTTTTTCTCTTCTTCCCTCAAATGCAGAAGGAGCTGGAGTTAATCTTTTAGAATACTCTTCTCTACCCCTTAAACCTCAAGGGGCCTGATCAAGGAGGCGTGTTCCGAATATGGCTAATGCACAAAGATAGCATTGGGCTCTTTGCCAAATACAGTCATAACTTTTCTTTTTTAAAATCAGAAGCAGGAGGTGATGACAGTGCTGCCCACCTCCTTTCTATAATTGTAGCCTTCCAAAATAGAGAAGTAGTTACAGTGCTCACCCAGAAGTGCAAGGTTTTGGTTTATTGCCAACTTCCTTCCTGGAACAGAGGTCAAATACTCAGAGCTTCCAAGGAAGAGCATATCTTTCATCTTTCCCGTAGGAACCGGGCTATAGCAAAAAAGAGTAGAAGGTTCATCTTGTCAAGAAAAAGGCCGGGGGTTGGGGGTGGGGGGGGGTGGAAATCAACTTGGTAGTTTTAACAACCAGGTACCTTCCACCTTGCTTTTACTTTAGAAGATTTAAGTACTTGGAATTCTTCCTCCCCAGCCAAATTTTCTAAGTGCTAGAGAACCTACCCTGCTTGTTAGCTGTATATTATACCAAAAATAATACACCTCAGTAGTAACAAAAGGTGCTAGCAGGTCACCGCAGGTCACTGTGAGTGGTCTGTATGGGTCATTATTTTCCTAAGCACCATTCAAGAGGGGGCAGCAAGTAAACAGGCCGCTCCAAGGGAGTAAAACAGAGAAGCTCAGAATCTGGTTATGCATGCTGGACTGATGTGTTTCTGATTCCTTACTCCCCAAAGCCACTCTGTGCTTCTTTTTAACTCTTGTTTCCAGAATACTCAAGTAATCTTGGGCAAGGTATCTTACTGCTAAGGTAGTTTGTCAAAATATGTCTTTACCTGAAAGGAGGTTGTAGCGAGGTGGGTGTCAGTCTCTTCTTCCAAGTAACTAGCGATAGGATGAGAGGAAGCGGCCTCCAGTTGCTCCAGGGCAGATGTAGATGGGGTATTAGGAAAAATTTCTTCACTGAAAGGGCTATCAAGCACTGGACAGGCTGCCCAGGGAAGGGGCTGAGTCCCCATCCCTGGAGGTGTTTAAAAGACGTGTAGATGTGGTGCTTAGGGACATGGTTTGGTGGGACTTGGCAGCATTAGGTTATGGTTGGACTCAAAGGGCTTTTCCAACCTAAATGTTTCTGTGATTTTGTGACTTGTGAAGTTGAATTCAACAGCTGAAGCAATTCACCTAACTCTTTGAACAGCAAATGGGGGGTTACATGACATGTATTTTATGCTTAGGCAAATACAAAGTGGCTTAATTAGCATTTCTGCTAATTCAGCTCTGAATTGTTTGTGTGTAGCAAAATAACTCTGTGTCATTTTCTGGTAAAAGCTGTGACTTGTAATAAAAGCATTCAGTAAATATCCTGGCCGGGACAGGTACCTAAGGATTCTTTTGACGTGCTTACATAACAAAATGTACATAAGCCCATGGACTTCAATGAAGGTGCCAGCTGAAGAAGGTACAGGAGGAGATTAAATAGTAGAACTTTTGTTTTAAGACAAATAAGAATTGATCAGTTTGACCATATTAACTTTCATACCTCATTAGGCAATAAAGCTGCTAGAGTGCAACAGCGTACTGGTACTTAAAACATACAGAGGCTTTTCCCGTGTTTTTAAAGGATTTCTTAACACTTTGCTTTCCAAAAAAGTATGGGCACAGCCTTTAGTGTTTAGACCCAGCATAAATTTTAGATACAGTGAAGTTTTAGAATTGATGACAGCTTTTTAGGTAGTCCCTAGAAATACTAGTTAATATTGTTCAACCAGGTCACTTGCTTCATAGGTACTTGCTGCAGCTTCCAACTGATTCTGAAACTGAGCCAAAAGAGAGAAGCATTTTGAAAATAAAAAAACAGAAGTGTACTGTTTTGATGTTTTTCATTTCTATGAAGTTCCTCTCAATCATCTGCAATACACGTCAACATTTAGGAGATGAAATAATTCTATTAAGAAGGATTATTTCTATAGTGTTAAAACTGATCAAAAGGTGAGACAAGCATTTTTTTCACTTGTTTTTTACAGATTCATCAGAACTGAACTATCTTATGGGAGAACCAAATAAGGAAATTTCACTGGGGTGGTTAATTTTGGTTTGTGACAGCAGCACAGTTGTAGAATCAGATTATCAATTTGAATAATCTGTTTTAACTCCCCATTCCCCTTACTCCCTTGCGTTCTGAAGGTTATTGAAAGAAGCAGTCCTGAACACCTACCTACAAACTGTGTCCACGCCAGGCTTCTCAGGTCTCGGCTTGGAACCGCTTGCAGTGTGGACTGATTTATCTTGCCAACAGGATTTCAGAAAAGTGTTCTGAATGTGATGAGTGCTTGTACTTTAAAATATTTTCTGAATGTGGGCAAAAAGAAATGAGCCTTCTGTGCTTTCTGGTCAATGTATGTTGTGATTCATCCAGGGTCTCTGTTTTTTTTTCCTCCACCACGTTGATGTTTCACTTTGAGTTAAGATACCAAAAATTGTCTCTTTAAGGCGAATGGGATAGATCTATGCCATCGGCTTCTGGTAACTGTCGCACTTCCTTAGTATGGAAACCAGTTAGTCAGAAGGTGAAGCTGTGAGGGCGTTTCTGGTTTGTATTAATGCTGCTGTGTTACCACGAGATGGAGCAGTTTGCAACCTAATGAAACGAGCCGCTCAGAGAAGCGGTGTGTAGCTGCACGGGAAACAAATGGTGATGAATCTTCCTCGGAAATAAGGACTTTATAACAACAGATTAATATGAAAATAGGTGTATTGTGTTTCAAAAGGGTAGATTCAGATTATCTGCCTAGGATTTTTTTTCTCCTGACAAAAGGAACAAATTTTAGTGAGAAATAATAAATGTCAGTTTATGCAATTTTTCAGCAAACTAATTTCTATGTGTAAGTAATACCTTCAGATTAATATTTCAGATGTTGTGCTAATAAATACCAGCTGATGTGGGAAGCTTGGAAATAGCACAGTAACATTGTCATGACTGGCACAAAGTCAAAATCATGGAATCATGGAGTGGTTTGGTTTGGAACGGACCTTACAGATCATCTGGTTCCACCCCCCCTGCCATGGCCAGGGACCCCTTCCACTAGACCAGGTTGCTTAGAGCCCCATCCAGCCTGGCCTTGAACACTGCCAGGGAGGGGGCAGCCAGAGCTTCTCTGGGCAACCTGTGCCAGTGCCTCACCACCCTCATAGTAAACAATTTCTACCTTGTGTCTAACCTAAACCTGCCCTTAGCAGTCTCATACTAATCATATACATAACTAATAAATATAATTATTTAGATAAAATGCCAGAAATTTGTTTCAGCTAAGGGGAGAAGAATTTGTTATTGAAACTGCATTTTATCTGTACAGTTTCATAAAATCCTTCTGCATATAGACATTAATTTTCACGGTGTTCTGTGTTATTTTATATACAAGAAATCATGGGCTGGAATTGGAAGCAAGTATATTATTTATGCTCTTGCTAGCACCCAGTCGGCGTTGGTTGTAGTCGCTTGCTAAATGTCCTGCAAACATGTGTGGACACAAATCTCTGCCCCATGTACCTGTCCACATAAACAGAAAATGGGCAATAATGGTTTTAGACCTCATGTTTCTTAGCATCCACTCTCAACTACTGTGGCAGCAATCAACCTTCACTGTGAGTTTTCAGTACTAAATAACTGAGTGTTGAAGTCTTTCCAGCGGGGGAATTCCAGTCCCACCTGCCGCTTCTCCCCTGGTTACCAGCCATGTCGGCAGTGACGGGTGCTCCTCTGCTCGCCTGGGGAGTTGCTCATTTTGAAAGAAAACAGCCTTGGGTGCTCCACAGAGGAGGTCTGTGTTTCAATGTGCTAAATCTTTAAGGCATTCAAGATGCGTGCTGACCATTTCTTCATCACTTGAAGAAATGTCATATTCAGATGCTGACAATATTGGCATAATAACGTAAGCAGGGTGGTGTGTGCTGGCCACAGGTCCTGAGCAGGCTAATACATCATGGAAGCAGTTTCAGACTAACAGCTGATTAGCAGGAGATACAAGATTATATGCTAACACTTCTTTCTGAATATGCACTTTTGCCTCCGAGATGAACAAAAGCAAATTCCCCTCTTCCAGGTGGATGTTCCAGGACTGATCCCCGATACCTTCCTGCTTACCTGCTTACACTTCCCCTTAGTAACTGCTGTTTCTTGTAAGACAGGCTGATGCTGAGAGAAGACGATTGCACCAGTGGTACCAGGGCAGAAATTATTAATAAAACTTGAGCATGTCTTGGTACGGTCCTTATTTCAGGTCCTAGAGCAGCCCTGCATGTTCTGGGCTGGTGGCACCTTGAGGATTGACCTTACATACCTGTACCTTGAGTGCTGGATCGCAGGTAGGCTGCGGCAGCTGTAATGCGTTTTAGCCGGTGGAGGTATCAACACGATTTTTTTTTTGTTTAAACTTGTGTTCATAGA